ACTGGTGAAGAATTAAAACTCTCCAAAGCAGACCTCAACTAATGATGGATAATGGTATCCTTCCCTAAGCTAAGAGGGCAACGATTTCTACATTGGTTGAGACATTTCCCAATGTTATTAAGTTTCAGTTCACTATAGTGCTAATTTTCCTGATGATGCCTACGTTGTTGTCTTCCTTTCCTTCTCTGTGTCCCTTTCCTGCTATTTCCTGAAGATGTTTGCTGGACCAAACAGAAGACAGATTTGGGCTAGAATCCCAACACTGCCATTTTGAACAAGTCATTTAATATCTCTGAGCTTTAGTTTTCTAATCTTTTGGGCAGATATAATAATTCCCAAGTTGTCATGATCACTAATGAAATAATGAATCAGAAAGCACGTGGTCATTGTACCTATTCCACAAATTGGTGCATGTAAATGAGACAGAAAAATATGCCACCCCAGCAGAGTCTGAAGTACAGGTCGCTGTCAGTGAAATAATAATCAGATGCTAACCTACTAACAGGAAAACCCTCGGCTGGGCTCCGTTCTTGCTAACTCCCATTACAACATGGTTTATTCCTAACTAGAACATGACTTTGAATTACAAGAATTATGAGTTGCTAATTCCTCCTCCCCTTTCTCTCCCTATATGCACACATTTAAACACATATAAATCATAAATCTGATTTAACAAGCTTGTATTTTATTGAGTCATTTTTCATTTCACTGAATTATCTTATATAACCAAAGAGATCCAGTCTGGGTTTTCCTTAAATTTCATATTTTTATTCCTAGCCTAGAATACCTATTAACTTACCAAATTCTAATGTAAATCAAACTTTCCAGGAATGCATCTGTTGTAGAAAACAGGTCACACCTGTACAAATTGTGAATGCACAATATAATTAGTAAAACTGTGTATGTTTTTGTACAAAGCCCTAGAGAATAAAATAATAAGAAATTCCTTTTTAGTGTTAAATGTATATATTTGAGCAAAACACTAGGCCCATGGTCAGTATGCACTGATAAATACACATAATGAATTATCAGGAGAATTATCCACTTTTCTAGGTATGCTCATTCAGAGTCATTCTCTCTTTGAGATTGACTGATCACTTATTTATTTCACAAATCTCTGTTCATGTAATCTTAATCCATTTTAGTAACAACAGCATTATTGTGGGATCTCTTGTTTTTATCATGTGGCAGTGTTTGCAGCATATTTAGATTCTACTGCATGTTCTATGTGCTTTTTTCCTTCAAAATGTACTTTAAAAAAAAAAAATGAGCAGAAGCAGACAGACTGTTCCAGGACATCCCTTCCTTTAGAGACATGAGTTCCTCCAGCTTAAAAAAAGACTAGATTCCAAATTGGTTAAATTGCTTCTTCTGTACAGTGAAGGGACATGTTGTCTGACTACAGTGGAACATGTGCTCTCATTTCTGACCGAGCTGTTCTGTGAAGAAGTTTTATTTAGCCGGCATAGCCAATCCCCGGATTTGTGGGTGTTACCTCCTTTCCAAGTTACCAGTTTTTTTCATGATCATTATTACTTCTGCTCTGTCAGCTGTAACACAGTTTAGTAGCAACCCTTTTTAGAAAACAAGATGTTTCTCAAAATAGATGGAACAGTTGGCCAGACAGAAAAGAGATACAGTATCAACAAGAAGTAGGTCTGTTGTTCATCTGTGTGTTGCTCCCTGGACCACTCTGAAAGGCAATCTCACACATATGTCAAGGAACTGGCATAGAGTGAGGTTATCATCTCTTATCCTAACATAAATTTATACCCTATTTTATTTAGAAAATCAATTGATATGAAAACTGATTTGGTCCAGAGAATACTTACATGTTTCATTTTTGTTGTTGTTGTTCAAATTAAGACTCGTAAGCAAATGTACTAGCTAGCTTTTTAACTTTTTTTCATGAGATAACTTGGAATTCCATAAGTAAATAAGTGCTTTAATTCAACTGAACATCAACAAATGGGTCCAGTTGTATGTATATTCATGTTCTGACTGTGTAGCAGAGCCAGCTGAGAAGAAGCAGGAGCTTTAGGGTGGATTTTTTTGTTTTTTGTTTTCCCTCTATGCATCAACTAAAATAAAAGTTAGGTCAGGCAGTATTTACTCTCAGGGCAAAGTGACATTTTTCAGCTGCTTAGATTTCCCTGTTATTAGCAGAAATGACCAATGTGGAACAAAGGGACAAGCCCCTTTAATCACTTATTTGTCATGCAGAGATGATATGACATTCCTTTCAGAGCACAACTGGGATGACTCCTGAAAAACAGATCGCCCATCAGTTACCCAACATCTCATTGTTGTCCATACTCAACAATGATCAGTCAGATGCCCATGAGAGCGCTATTCTGCAGAAATCTTCTTCCTCCTGAACATGATGAAGGATACAGATGTCATCCCTGCTTCCTGATTTTACCAATGTGTCTTGACTGTCTTCCCACAGAGCATAGAAGTCCAACAACGTGTTCCAGTGCACACCTGCTTTGCTTTTGTGATCTCTTTCTTTTTAAATAAGTTGTCTTTATTCCTAAATCATTTTTTTCCTTAAGAAATTAAGCTAAGTTTTACCAAGTCATACTTTATTACCTCCTCCTCCTTCCCATCACTTAAAATTCTAGAACAGAGTTTTTAATCTAGGTCCTTGGACTAGGCATGTTTGAAAGAGCTCTAGGAAGCCATGGACCACTTGAAAATTTGTCCAGGT